CCAACTTTTCACAAAATTTTCTGACTTCTATTTCATATTCATTACTCAAAATTGCATCAAATTGAGACGTATAATCGACAGATCTCAATGTGGTGAAGAAATTCTACGTCTCAGATTCAAATTTTGTGATGAATTGGTCCAGAAATAGATATTTAACCTAGCGGTATTTTACATGGGCGCTTGGATATTTGGCCATAGGGGTGGCCGCTCAAGTGTATCTTGATTTTTTTATGTGACTCTTATCCGTATTTAATATCCGGAGGCAGTTGGGACCTTTAACTTCCTACTCCAATGATAAAACGCATACAATTGGTATTTAACGTATCTGGATTTTGGGTTTAACTACATTAATTGCACGTTAAATAATAAAACCTCCACTCTTCAATTTGGCCGTTGGAAGTTTTTAGATGAAGTGCACCATATGAGAGCAAGATCATGCGATGTGGTTGGTATCCCGGACACGGTCAATTCGAACAGGTCTAGCAGTAACATCACCACTTGCCTCATTCCACCATCAGTCCGTGTCGGTGCCGTACACATCCCTACTGGAGTAGTCACGTGGTTGCGGGGGCGGGTGGCGCAAGAGGTCTTGGTGGCACCCATCGCAAGTGCTGAAGCCGCCACTTCAGCACTTGCGATGGGTTCCTACTGTACCAAGACGTCTCACGCCACCGCATTGTCCCACCAGAGCTGTCACGGCATTGCGACCCAACCGAGGCCACAACGTAATGTTAGCTGTAAGGGAAGAACCACATTGGATATAGTCGGAGTGAACTCATCAGTGCACAATTCTCTCGAGCAGAAAAGCTCTACAAAATTCAAACAGTTCAAAATTGTAACCTCTTCTGCCAGTATTATAGCCAATCGTGTGTAAGAAGCAAGGTGGCTCACCTTGCGAATTCCATTAACAAATCATTTTATATCCCCATAACATGAAAGGTCCGACCGTGAAGTGGTCATTTATAGATAACCTGTGTCCGAATTATCCTATTTAGGGCTATAACTAGGACAGTAGGGGGGCTCCTCGGCCTGGTTCGCTTCGCTCCCGGCCTCCGGTGCTCCCAACCTTTCGATAGATCATTCCAGTTATATTGAGTCGCCTCGCGGGTGAACGGGCCTGGTTCGCTACGCTCCCGGCCCTGGTCTAAGCTCGCTCCTAAGCGTTCTGGATATAGAATGTTGTATGTACTTGTATAGGGATATTATCAGATATACCCATAACTCCTAGTCCTAATTTCAATTATTGCGATCAACCTCCGACCCCTCTGATTGGTCGGAGGTGGTCGGAGGCGGTCGGACCTTTCGCATTATTCATCCATAAAGGTTAAGTTGTGATTGATCGAATGGAACTTGTTTCATCAAGTTTAAGGAGGTATTACAGCAGTTAGGTGGCTTTGAAGTATTGAATGTTCATTGGATGAGATGCGCCAAATTATGGACAGGGTACATTATACTTAATTTGACCAAACTAAAAGTTCGTTCGATTCGAAGTTTTCCAATGGAAACAAATATAAGATTACACAGTATATATATAATAAATCAAAGGATATAGAATTTAAACGACAAGTCAACTCACAGTCAATTACAATTCCACCATTTCGACCACGTCGTCCGGAATGAGACATCCTGACCACCTACTACTCGAGTAGGCTCAGAAATGGTACTGCGTCTCAGGATCCTCACCATCACTACATCTATATTGTGTGGATTGCAATGTCATGGTGGCTCTGGTGGGCCAACGCGGTGGAGGAAGAGGTCTTGGTAGCACCCATAGCA